GGAGAGAGAGAGACACGAACAGATACAAACGATAGAAGCGTAAAAAAATAGAAATTATATCCCATTGTAACGTGAAATTTTTAAAACATAAATACATGTATTTCTTTCGATCAGAAGGGGGGCTTAAAAAAATTATGGACGCAATTATAATCTAAGGTTCTGCTGCCCATGCCATTGATACTGACGCTCTTGCTGGTGCGTTTATTGCACGAGTTCCTTTTTAAAGTAAAGAATTGAATATTCGAGTTGAGTAGATACAAGTTTACACTCTGATATAGGGGGAGCCCACTTGCGCGATCGAGTCGGGTCGGGTCGGGTTTGGTCGATTTGATAGTCGGGGCTAGCCCTAGGCGATTATATGACCGTCTAGGGCTAGCCAAATTGAGGACGCGAAGCGGCCATCATGGTACACACCGATCGACTCGGTCGGTGACCTGCAAATACAAACGCAAATTGTTTTCAGGCCTGTGAATCGCGCGATCTGGTGGTTTGCAGCCAGTCACAACTAGGCTGAGTCACGAGTCTTTGTTCACTCAAAATCCAGTGGCGCCCTCTTCGAGAAAGAACGGACTTTGCGAAAAGAGTTACCCTACTTGGGAGAAAAACAATAAATCGAACCTAACAAACTGAGCTTTTCCTATTCTTCTTCAGGAGAAACGAAAGAAAAACTTCAAAACAAAGACTGCAGCGCCATCTGATCCAATGCACAGACTTCCGCCTACACATTTTTGGCCGAGTGAACTGTCTTGCTATATACGATCTTTGATAATAGAAAGTTATCGATGTAACACATGTTTATGGGATTCCAGGCTGCCGCAGCACTGCAACGGGGAACTGCGGAAAGGAGCCCTGGAAGCCGTTGAGGTTAAAAGTTTCTGTACTTTAACTTCCAGGTCGTCGGGTACAATCGCGACGGGGTCGTAGTGTGCACTGAAACCACCAGAAAACGACCCGACCCGACGATACGACACGACCCGACCTGACCCGACACGACACGACACGACAAACCGACCCGACCCGGCCCGACCCAATCGCGCTAATGGGCACCCCCTAATAGTTACACAAGATTTTGGTTACAAAGTATGACCACCCTTATATCTATTTCTCTGTCTGTCTGTATCTATAGGCATGCAAAGAATGCGTGTGTGCGCGCGCGTACGCACGCACACAC